ATTCAGTTTATATGTCATATACATGTCAGAAAGATGGTGTAATCCTTGTCTGCATCAGAGTAGGAAGTTCTGCTGAGGTTGCTTTCAACTTGAAAACCCAACCGGGTATCAGCTATTAGTGTTTTAATTGGATGAGATTCTTTCTTCCAATGTTTGTTTCAATCAGTAATGATAACCACCACCTACACAGCATCGCAACTTAATTGGTTAAAACTCTCTGTTTCTTGGGAAATCAATTTCTCCTGTTAGTATGAACTCCAGACACATCTTGCTATGTGAACTTGGGCCCAGAATCCAAATGCACAGTCTTTCTTTGAGATAAACGGAAGTTAAGTGCCTAAATACCTTTGTGACTCTTGACACTCATCTTGTAGCATCGAGAAGATTATCTATATCAGTATTACCTTTTCTACAAAAATAATCAGTCATTTACAGACTGAAAAAATAAATTAGGATAATATGTTTTACTTCAGTTTATGTTCAGAAGCAGGGGAATCTGCATCAGCCTTCTTAAAGATGAATGTTGTTGCAATCAGTAGAGGTTTGGGGAAAGCCAGAGTAGAAGAGGAAGAGTGGCAATTTTTCTAACACTAAAAAGTGTTCGGCTCCACTGCTCTGGCACACACCGGTCTTCAAATAAACAAAATTTCTCTTTTGAAGACCTCGATTCAATAGGAATCTAAGTGAGTGAAATAAGTTTAAGATGCCTCCTTTTCTATAAATACCATAGATCCTCTCAATGAAACAAAAGGCAGAGAGCACCAGTAAAAGGTTGTGTTTGCATATACAGTGTAAACTGAAAAGCCTCAGGTTTTAGATAAAATCCTACATTGACCCAATGAGGCATGACACTGATGAAACTATGTACCTAGTACATTCAGAACACGTAGGTTAAAGACCTTTGCCTACCACACAGATAGAGGCCTGTAATCAAAATCAAACTCCCACATCTTGCTCTTAAAATTTGTGGGATAAGTGTAAGGTTTAATGCAGGTAATTTTTCAACAGTGGCAGTTATGTTTCGTAGAGCTGGAATGTGCCTCTTTATCACCGCGTAGACACTCCATCTCAGTTGCAACATGACAGTGAAGTTTGTTTAACACGCAGAAAGGTGAATAAAAGGATCACTGTCTTTTTAACCTGTGTGAAGATATCACCTTTCGCATGATTTTATTTGCAAGTAAATCAAGCACATCATTGCTGGGTTCCTATTGTTCAGAGAAAATGTGATTTCTATCTGATGGCCTCTCATAACATTTTACCTTACGCGGGAAGCTATTGTTGGCTGTTTGATCAAAGTGCCACGCTGTTTTTACAAGAGATGACTGATGAGCTGTACAGACATAGATCATTGTCAAAAGCAGAAAATAATGATGGCAAATGCTTTTATCATTTTCCAAGTTCTTGCCTAGAAAGCTTTTCCATTGATCAGTGTAGTACCTAGTAGAAAGTAGGGATGATTAGGTTTGATTAGGACACACTAAAACTTGTCACATTAGTTAAATACACAGATATTGCTGTGCTGTAGAGTCCTTGAAACTAAAAAGAAACTTAAAAAGGCAGGAATGTTTCTATGTGAAATTTCACTGTACTTACATGGGAATTCAGAAAGCTGAGACTCGTGTTCTTACCTCATTACTTACATATATTTTCCTCATGCTTCCTCCTTTTCAGTTTGTCTGACGTTAAAAAAAATCCTTTTGTAAGTGTGCAACCATCTATATCTACATGTACACCAGTGATGTCCGACCCTTTTAGCCCACAGTCGAAACATTTAAAACGTTGGACAGCCACAGTCAATGTATCAGGGCAATTAATTTGCCTTGTTCTCCCTTCTTTGCATTCAGATGGCACACAGAAAATGGAAACTGGCTACACCTCTTCAGGCAATGTGGAGCTGATGTAAGCCAGCTCTTGTGCCTCCCTTCCTACTGTCCTGAACACAGGAGGCACACTGATTATAGGGAGGGAAAATGGTTAAGCATGCTGTGCTCCATCTGTCTCCACCTGGTGCATGGTTCTTTGGAAATCATAGGTAGGTGATATACACAAGGACAATCCTCCGGCAGTTTTTTACTGAACATAAGGAATGAGACCATGAAGCAGAATATCAGATCACTTTTCAACCTTCTTGGGCTGCTGGTAGCATGAAAGTAACCTTTTCATAGGTATTTTGAGACACCAGTCAAGCTCTTTTCTCACTATCCTCCAGAACATAGTCAAAACAGCAACCAAAGCTGCTCCTTTTCAGTCTCTGCTGAGCAGTGGTGGTGGGACTCCCGCTTCATTCTGCAGGGACTGCTTAGAAGTAGTGGAAGCAATCCAGGAAGCACACCATCTTATGTCTTTCCCATAGTAACAAGGTGGTTTCAGAGATCTTAAGGTAGGACTCAAGGAACACATGTTCAGCTCCAGACTGCTACATGATCTCTTGCCAATTTTATTGTCCTTAACATAAGGACAATATGATAATTATTAATAATAATTCACAACTTCAAAAGCAACAGCTTGTTTCCCTGGCAAAAGTTAGGAAATTTAAATATAAATTATGCTGGAGTATGTTTATGTACATCACTAGTAAAGGTGGTGCCTCCTGGTCAAATGCAGCTATTATTCTCCCATATGAGTTTAAGAAAACATAAAATAATAGGCAGCAAACCTAAAATCATGTAACAAAGAAGGGTAAATTTAATACAAGAAGCTGTAACCAGGTGAGACTGTCTTCTCAGAAGACCTGAACAAATTTCTGGTTTAGATGACCACCACTCAGTTTTACACCTCAACAATAACGTCGTCTTCTAACACCAGGCCCCATCTTATAGAATGTCAGATTTCAAACATGAAGTCAGAAGTTCTTTGGGATTCCATGCTTTTTTTCCTTATGCATAGCAGTTTCCCCTGGTTTTTGAGACATAAATAATTTTTGGTCTTTTCCTTCCAAAAAAATGTTTCATTTGTGCTTTAATTTCCAGCTATATTGTATGTACTATTTTTTATTCTGAGTAGAAAACTATTTAGTTTTCTAGGTATAGCAAATATTTCTTCTTGACAGCCACTGTTTTTTTTCCCTGGAAAAGTCCCTTACTGATCTTGTTTAAGTATGTCTAATCCCAAATAAGAGAGGAGACAGTAACTCACTCCCTAAACAGTTTATGACTGCTATTATTTTTTTCTGTAATCTGTCCCCAAGCAAGCTTAAATCTCTCACAATCTCCTTGAAGGAAAAAAAAAGAAAAAGTGCAGAGAGTATGGAAAGAATATTCAAAAAGCTTTCCGATTGTTGTATTTTTTTTCTGGGATGGCTTATAAAAAAGTACTTCCTGGTATGGTTAAACAATGGGCATCTTTTAATCATATAAGGAAAATTAACATTTCAAATCCAGTTTATGGCATATTCTTATCTGATTTGTTGCTTCCAAATTTCTCATCAGTTATTAAAATTTTGCACCAGAAATAATCTTTATTCATTATTTCTTTTTTATTTTCTACTTTAGCGTGAAGGTCACAAATTGTGTAACCATACACAAAACATGCCTTGTCCCTACCTGTCCTGTTTCTTTTCTTCAGTATTTTGAACTCCTTGGTACATTTCATTTGAAACCTTTCATTTAAGAAACCAGAATGGTCCAGGCTGAACCACACTGCTAGTGCTGACATTTGTCGGGTGCTGTTCTGTGTTTGTGCCAATGCATGGATGCAGGATCTCTTTCAGGTAGCATCATCAGCCAGTAGTGCTTTTGCTGTGATGATAGCTTGTACATTTTCAGTGATTTTCATCTAGGGATTTGGAAGTGCTTTGCAGAAATAGAATATGATTGCCTCCTTATTTCTCTCTGTACCTACACTTGTATGTATGTGTGTGTGTATTTGTGTGTGTATGTATATAGACCCCTAATACACATAGAGATTACATCTTGTGCAACCAGGATCGCAGTGAGGAAGTGGAGATGGGAACAAAATCTGGCTTCGTGATTGTATATTCCTATCATAACTGAAGCTGAATATTTCCCAAATATTTAGTAATGATGTTGAGAAGAATCTAATTTTTTTTGCTTTCCTATATACTTAGCAAAGGAATAGCTTGATTAGTTTCTACAGAATGCTCATAAATGAAAGTGAGTAGTTTTGTTATGTTTGGTTTGGAAACATTGAGGACAGTAAATCAAAGGGGGTTTTGCCTGTGATTCTGAAAATGGTGAGATTGATTAACTGTCTTACCACTTGCAAAACTGAATTTACAAGCATAGATCTCAATGTTCTCTAAAGGTTAAACGTGAAGCCCTTATTAGATTTTCTGTATTCTGTTTTGAAAGTCAGATTCGCAAAAAGGCAACCTTGCAGCTGGTTTGCAACAGTCCTTTGGTGCAGAGAGGGTTATTCAAGTCTTCAAAAGGACTTCAGTGTCCAAAGAGGAGCTGAAGCAGGGTACAAATGCCAGGGTGGTATATCCACCACTATCTTTGATGTTAAGTTTCCTTCCTATAAATCAGTGCAACAAGAGCTAGTCAGTTCTGTATCAGCGTATTAAAGCTCTACGCAGACTTTCAGTTCAGGTCAAGAGGTGTAGGAAGGAAAACTTTCCCTAACCTTTGCTTTTGTGTTTCATTCTACTGCTTTGTGTTCCTAGCACTTCATTGCAACATCTCGGGTTGGAGGGGGAATAGCTGCATTCCTGAGGTCTCCCCACTTTTATTACATTTTCACTTCTATTCAAGCTGAGTTGCCAAAAAGGCTTGAGAGACTCCCTCTTTCTATAGATCTGTAAAGCACATTACAAAATGAGGGATAAATCGTGATAAGGTTTCTGGATGCTGTTGTAACACGATAATGAATTTGGCCATTGGCCTTCAATGTGGGTGTTTTAGAGAATGTGGATAAAACAGGCTATCTTAAAGAAAGCGCTGTCTGTTCCCAGCCTTTTCCCCATCTTACAAATTTATGATTTACCTTTCCTTTTTGTTATTTGGAAACTTAGGGGTTGCTTTTATTCTCAAGCTACTATAGCATAAGAGTATTCCCGGTGTAATTATTTTTGAATTGTAGAGCACATCTACAATCAGAATCCTGTTCCCGTAGTTGAATTATGGCTCCCTTCAAAGTCCCCGGATAAGCTCCCACTGACTTTGGGAGAGCATGAATTTCATTCCTGTGCTTGTTTTTCCTAATATCTGGAGAAAATTTTAAGGAATTTCCAGCTGAAACTCATCACACCGTGATCCAGAAGATACAAAAGCAAGTATCCCTAGTGGTGTCTTGGCATTTAAGTATCAAGTTTTACTTCCTAACCAGAAAGTTATTTTTAATAACTTTTAATAACTTTCACTTAAAAAAAACCTCATTAGAATTTTTAACTCTCACATCTGGGAATAAGAGTGACCTAGAATGCTGATGCGATGATTCATAGTATTTTAATTTTTGTAATATGGGATACTATCACATATAAATTTTAAATTGCACATTTCAGCTGCTGCTCTAAGTAGCATTTGGTACAGCAGGAAATCTTCCCACTCTGGCTTGCCAGGAGCAAGCCTGCAAGTTGAAATGAAATATCCATTAATTTTTTTGTACCTAAATAAGTAATTCCTGCTTCCCTCCCTAATCTGTGCAGTGCAGCAAGATGCACGGCTCCTGTGCCACAGGAAGGGTGCAGTGTCATTGCCCCAAAGCAACTGGAGAGGGCAAGAACCTAGGCCTGAGAAAAGGCAGTGGAAAGCCCACAGTGGGGCTGGGGAAATATAATGCTTCATTTGCTGTCTGACTAGAAGAGGGTGCAGAAGCAAGAACACATCAAAAATGCCACAGCCAAACCCCTAACTTTCCTATTTGGCTTTACTGCACCTTTCAGCTGGCTGATGTGTGTGGCTAGGTGGGCCACCCGCTCCTTCCTCAGCATTTAGAAATGCTTGGTCTTTCAGCTGTCCTGCCTTTATTGGGTGTGGCTAGAGGGCAGGTCACTGAGGGTTTTCTGCTTAAGGAAATGCAATATTTAGAAAAGATGGAAGACTATGTAGTTTGTCATCACCTGTGGCTACTGACCAGTACAGCAAATGACTGAGCATTAGCTCCCCAAGATAAATAACATACTTTAAATAACAGACCTTAAGTCTGTTGCAAAACGTGTCTACCTTTCATAGATTAAAAGCCAAGAAAATAAAAC